TTTCGTAGATTTAATGGAAATAATAGTTTTCACGTTAATATAATTAATTAATTAATGATATAGCATCTATTTGAATATCATTACTGTAAAAATTTATGATTTAAAAAAACGATTCTTTAAATTTCAAGAAATAGCAATTGCTATGTGCAATTGCGTTCACTTCCATACTTTTAAATTTTTTGTCTAATAACACAAATTTTTTAATTTAATTTTTTTTCTTTTTGTCCAACGGATACTTGTTTACGATTCGTCTTATTACCTGTTTTCCTGTGCAAAGAAAAAGTGGCAAGAGATTTTGCATAAATAAATTAAACGAGAAAAAGAAAAAAACAATTGAAGCACCGATCTTACTAATTAATTAATTCATTGCGGAATATATCAAACAAACAAATCCAACCAGTTAAAATATTATCAATTTTTCATTAAGACAAGTTTTATCATTATTTCGACCAATTAATTATTATGACAGTTGAAGCTTATCATTTATGATATTAAATGTACTTTTATCTTTATTTTAATTCAATTATTTAATTACATCATAATGAAGACAATTAATATGTGATTGATTTTGTTTACATTTCGTTTCGCTTATTTGCTTAATTTTTGTCCATGAATTTGCTCTTTGCTGGTTTTCAAAAATTTTCCAAAATAGCAACAACAACATTTTTTAATTTTCAAACAATTGTATTTAAAACAATCAAGGCTATTGTTTACTATTTTGTCTCTTAATTTTTGAAATGTTATTGATGTGCTAATCATTCATCAAAAAATTTCATATAATTTTTGATGTCTCACAAAACAAAGATGGCAAAAATTATTTAATCGTAAACAACTTATAAGAAAGATAAGAAGGAAATGGAAGCAAAATTTGAAACTTTTTTTCATCATTTTTTTCCCCTGGAAATTGGTAAGGAGGAAATGCAAATGAAAAAGAAAGGACGCTAACAAGTAAGCCTAGCAAGAAAAAATTTCATTTAATAAGTATCATTTATTATTTAATTATTGAAAATTAACCAGAAATTAATTAATTGCCTAAACGATTTAAAGATATTATAATTTATGTTAGTAATAATTTTAATGATATTTATGTCAGATAAAACAATAATATCTGGAAATGAAATAATTGCAATTTCATTAAATGGAAATAATTTATTTTTGCTTGGTAATCGATTTAACTGGATGGATAAGCAAATGTTTGAAATACATAAAAAAAAGTATGTTGACAGACGATGGGTTAGAAAAACAAAATAAACAAATAAAGTAAAAAAATGCGGAAATAATTTTTCTTTTCTTTTCAATTTGTAAAAGTTTCATTTCCTTCAATTTTTTTTTTTTAATTTCTGCATGTTATATGATAATTTTGAAATAAAAAAATGCTATATATTATGTGGTTTTTTTTTTTTTGAAACATAAAAAACATGTGATAATTTTTCTTAATTGCATATTATATAATTTTGAAATAAACAAAAATGATATGTATTAAGCAATAGTGTTATATTTGAGCTATTATCAATTGCCATCCAAAAATTTCTACAGCTTTAATAAAACCTTTCATCATAAAATTTTCATTTTTATGTTTATGAAATAGCATTTCAATCAATTCATCCTCGCAATCAATCAAATGTGAATGAAACAAATCATTCAATGCTTCAAATATCGTAAAATGTGATTTAAAACTATTTCAGCATTTGAATAATTAAAATGTTTCTTTCTGTCCTGATCAATTAGTAATTATTAATTTCAATGTTTCGCACATATTTTACTTTTGTCCTCCCAATATTTTAATGTAAATTACAATGAAGGTTATTATCATTTAATCACCACATTGAGAAAATAATAAAAACTAATGAAAGCTAATATCATCACTAATTATTACAAATTTTTAAATTAAAAAAGTGCATACTTTCATCTTCTTTTCCCACTAGCAGATCGAAAAAAAAACGAATGATCAAAATTGAAAGTAACCATCTTTGATAGTTGCAATCCTTTTTTCCTTTCTTTTAATAATAATTCAAAAATTTTTTCTTTCAAAAAATTTTTCAAACAAGTAGCCAAATTTTTGTAATTATTTTTAAGCATTCATTGGCAAGAATTTATTTTATAAATTATAAAGGATTTTATCTAAGCTTACATATGTCATTTTCATAAATTATAATAAATCTAATATGATAATGAATGAATTGTGAGAGATTTCGCTAATGCAAACAATTTAAATTATCATTACTATCATCAGTTACTATTATCATTTTCAATCATCAGACTGAAAGACTCATAACAAATCTAAAGAAGAGCCATGTACCGCCCCGTTACTTCAAACCAAAATAACATCACAATGCATTTGTTGTATTCCTCTCACTCTTCCACTTTTAAACCAATCAGACAAAATTTCATTTCATTTAAAATTGAGCATTAACCAGTCATTCAACCAGTTTATGCCATTAGCATTCCTGTCAATTGATCCCGGTCAGTCAGTTTTCAATCAGTCA